TTACTGATGATTAGTAATATTGAACATTTTGTTCATGTATTTGTTGGCCATGTGAATACTTTCTTTTGAGAAATATTTCTTCAGATCTTTTCCTTAGTTTATTTTATACATTTTATCCTACTAAAACAAGTTCTCACTATATAGTCTTAGCTGGCCTGGAACTCACTATGGAGACCTAGCTGGCCTCAAACTCTCAGAGATCCACCTGCCTCTACCTACCACACCCAGCCTCTTTACGAATTTTAAATTAGTTGTTTATTGTCTTGTTTGACAGACATTTCTAAAACACTAATCTTCTCAGCACTCTGATAAGCTAAAGAAATAACAGCATCTTTAACAAGTTGAGTTCCTGATTGTGTGATTTTCAGAGAGTGGGGGTGTCAGGGAAGAGGTGAGGATTATTTAATGCAGCCTGGTTTGGGAGGAGGCCAGGGAAGAATTCCCAGAGAAGGAAACTGCTAGGGTGTGCCTCAGGGGGTGACTCTGAGATAACCGGTCAGACTTCAGGGACAGATGTCATGAGGGACTAGGAATGAGCGCACTTGTAACCTGGGCAGGTTTAGGTGGGAAGTTCTGTCAATTTGCTGTTCTTAGAGGAGCATCCTCTGACAGACACAAAATGAGGCTGGGGAAAGAACCAGGCCACGTGATAGTGGGCAGTTCACTACAGCTTGTGAAGGCAGATATCATCACATCATAAGTGACTTTCGTACAGAAAAGGGATGGACATCAAGAGTGACTGTGGCATTGCACGAAGTATCACTCCTCGCCTTGTGAAGAACAGAGCTGAGGAACAAAACTAGAATAGGGAAAAATCAACGAGAAGACAGCTGTTCTCACCAACAGGAGAACTCGGCATCTATAGGAAGAGTGGAAAGAGACTGCCTGGAGCCTGAGTCAGGAGATGAACTGCCTGTTTTCATTCCCATTTGGTCTGTCTCTTCTATCTAGTGCATACACTTCCTGAGATCAGGGATAGGATCTTATTTCTAAAGAAACCCTTGGATGAAGAGCTTCAAGCGGTCAATGACCGCTGACATTTGGAGAATCAGTCTCCTCCAGGGACACACTCCCACATAGGTTGTCCAATCACAATGGGTCATCCCTGGACACATGTGCATACAAGCAAAGCTAAGTGGACCCAGTAGGTCATACTTGTAACAATAATTTAAAAAGAGATGATGACTAGGTGGTGGTAGTGCATGCCTTTAATTTTAGCACTTAAGAGGCAGAGGCAGGTGGATCTCTGTGAGTTCGAGGCCAGTCTGGTCTACAGAGTGAGTTCCAGAACAGCCAGGGCTACACAGAGAAACCCTCTCTTGGAAATCCAAGAGAGAGAGGGGAAAAAGAGAGGAGAGAGAGAGAGAGAGAGAGAGAGAGAGAGAGAGAGAGAGAGAGAGAGAGAGAGAGAGAGAAAGGCTGAAAGAGCTGGAGGTGGAGGGGTGGGAGTGATGTGCTGTGTTCATGTATGAAGTTCTGGAAAAATTATGAAACAAAAACTAAGAAAGAAATGTCCATGGCCTAGTCAATTCCTAGCAAATTATATTTGTTTGATAGGTAGTTGCTCAATACCAATTTGAATTTAAGTTTAAAACTCACACCTCTGTCTCCTAGGAGTGCAGAGCTACAGAGAGGCACTTTTGTGAGTCTAGTATTCGAAGCATGAAACGTGTATGTGTGCATCTTTATTATTTCCTCTTAAAAAAATTAAATTCCTGCCAGTTTTTTAAAAATAAATTTTAATTATTCCCTTTCTCCTCTCTATAAAATGCAGCTTCTAATTCTTGAAGAAAGGAATGCAGGCAAAGAGCCGACTAGGCCTGGGTTAGTTCAAAATTGGTGGCTAAATGGTCACAGTCATTGCTTGTTAAGGTATATCCAGGCACTAGTGCTCAGAGTCCCTGCCCAGCATGCACAAGGCCCTGGGGTTGATCCCTAACATTGAAAAAGATTAGGTGTGGTGGCTTGTAATCTAAGCCCTTGGGAGGTAGAGGCAGATGAATCAGAAGTCCAGATGTTCAAGGTCGGAGATGGCTCAATTGGTAAAATACTTGGTTGAAAAGCACAAGGACTCAAGATCAATCCCTAGTGCCCACGTACAAACATTAAGCATGGTGGTACATGCCTGTGATCCTAGAACTGGGATGTGGATAGCAGGTCTCTAAGCCAGGGCAAAGGCTACTAACACTGGGATGTGGATAGCAGGTCTCTAAGCCAGGGCAAAGGCTACTTGAGGTGCCTATTAATATATCTGATGCTGGCTGCCCGGTTCTTCTAGCATCCCTCACTCCCCACCTGTTACAGGGTCTTCCTGGCTGGCATACCCTTCCCTCTATCCTAAACTTCTGCGGCACAGGGACTGAACTGGGCAGCCCTTCCCCCAGCTTCTCTTCCCTATATAACCTCAGCCCTCTTGGCTACCAGCCGTCTTGGCCTCTTGGTGGCCTCTCTTGGTTTCTGCTTTCCTGTCTCTTGGCTCCTGGCTCTCACCTCTCTTCTCTGCCCTCTCCTCACATGACCCAGTTCAGTTTGCAGGTCATGTTCACTCTGGACTCTCCTAAATGCCTCTGCCTGTATTCTCCCTTATATCTGTAATTAAAAAAAAAAAAAACAAAAAAAAAAACAAAAAAAACTCAACCCCTTAGGAGCAGCCATGTCCTCCTTTTATTTCTTTTTTTCATTCAGTGAGGATAAGAAGACTCTGGGAGTTCACTGACCACCCAGTCTAGTCTAATAGATGAATTCCAGGCCAATGAGAGACCTTGATTCAAATGAGGTAGATATGTTTCTAAAGGGTGTCACTTAAGATTGTCCTCTGGTCTCCAACACCCATGTATAAAAACAGAAATATACCTGTGTACCAGAGTGTACCCCCCGACATACATTTAAAAAGTTCACTATTAGCCGGGCGGTGGTGGCGCACGCTTTTAATCCCAGCACTCGGGAGGCAGAGCCAGGCGGATCTCTGTGAGTTCGAGGCCAGCCTGGGCTACCAAGTGAGTTCCAGGAAAAGGCGCAAAGCTACACAGAGAAACCCTGTCTCGAAAAACCAAAAAAAAAAAAAAGTTCACTATTATCTTTAGCTACATATAGAGTTCCAGGCCAACCTGGGCCCTGTCTCACAAACAACAAATAACAACGAAAATCAGACATACCAACAACAACAAAAAATAAAAGTAGTGAAAACTCTACCTGATATCATACCTTGGGACAGATATCATACTGTTTCATGAAAGTGGATCTGATCATCCATCTAGGGATATCACATTGTAATGCAGCCGTGGTTATAATGTAGATTTCCTTTTGGTGACAGTTTTGAGTCAAGTTTTATTAGAAAATTTAGTTTAGAAGTTACATAGTTTTTACATACATAAAATACACATTTCTATTTATTTCAATGCTGACAATTAGTTGGAATCACAAAACAAGTATTAAATACAGTACAAACACATTTAAATACATCAATATTTATCAGATGTCTCATTGAGAAATGTTTAGCAATGAGAGGCCCATCTCTGGGTCTGAATCCACACCAGAGATTTGGGTTTTTATCTTCTCCTTCCCATCTTTGCCTTAATCTTTACTCAACCCTGCATTACTGGAGATTGAGAGAATTTTCTGATAAGAAGATAAATACACCGGGCGGTGGTGGCACACGCCTTTAATCCCAGCACTCAGGAGGCAGAGCCAGGTGGATCTTTGTGAGTTCAAGGCCAGCCTGGGCTACCAAGTGAGTTCCAGGAAAGGCACAAAGCTATACAGAGAAACCCTGTCTCGGGGGGAAAAAAAAAGATAAATACATAAAAGTCACTTAGAGGAAATACTGAAAAGGGGCCAGCAGGTATGCAGAGCAAATGTTTCTCTGTGCCCTTGAGATCCACTAGTTACCAGTGTGGACCCACTCTACCTCCTCACTGCTTACTCAGCACGTTATTTTAGCATTAACATCATTATGGTATTTAAAGTGTTCAGAGAACTGGCATCCATAAAGCGATTGGAACCATGCTTAAGAAAGCAAGAGAAGCCATTGTTATTTGCAGTTTTAGCCTAGGCCATGGGATTTTGCAGAGCACTGTCCCCATGTCCTGGATCACTCTCTCCATAGTGAATGGTTTTCTGTTTTAAATGCTCAGGCCTTACCCGAATTCATCGGGTAAAATCTCAGCTCTCAAAGTGATGGCCTCAAGTAAGAGGTGTGGGCTATAGATAAGTCCTGGACATAAAGACAGAGGCGTCTTCACAGATAGGATTCTGGCCCCAAAGATGCCCACAGGGGCTGTTTTACCTCTTTCCCATGAGAGGTCATGGTGAGAGGGTTACATGTGTTAACTCGAAAATGAACCTGTACTAGATGCTGAACCTGCCAGCAGCAGGAGAAATAAGTTTGTTGATAAGCCTACAACTTTGTAATATTTCATTACAGCATTTCCAACAGACTAAGAAATGGTTACCCTGTAGACATGCCAGCTTAGGACCGCTCTCTCGCTCTCTGAGTCCTAATGCTTGGTCTAGTTGACTTTTCGAGCATAGATTAGTTCTGGGTTTCTTTGGGTTCTCATAGCTCCTTGAAGTTCTTTTTCTCAGTTCTTTTTTTTTTTTCTTTTTTTTTTCTTCGAGACAGGGCTTCTCTGTGTAGCTTTGTGCCTTTCCTAGATCTCACTCTGTAGCCCAGGCTGGCCTTGAACTCACAGAGATCCACCTGGCTCTACCTCCCAAGTGCTGGGATCAAAGGCGTGCACCACCACCGCCCCAGCTTCTCCCTGGTGAAGTCATCCATAGCATCAGACTTCCCTAATGGCACCAGGGGCATTTCTCAAAGAATTTGCTCAAACCTCCAAGTCAGTTGCCCAGGGAAACAAGCTGGTGATGTCACAAGGCATGGCCCTTGCAGTTCTCCTTCAGCCCCCTTCTGCACTGGCTGAGGTAGGGTCCTGCCCATTGCTCTCCCAATCCAATTATGTCTTCTACTCCCCAGAGCAGTGCAGAAGCCCTTGCTCACCCCGAGCCATGTCTACACTCAGGTATGCTGGCCAAAGCTAGCTCCCCAAGCTTCTTCCCTCTGGGCAAAAAAAATGCTATGCAGATGGAATGTCTGGACCTCGTTAGTTCTCTGGTATAGGGGCGGGGGAGATTGAGACACCCTTGAGTCTGTTCCTAGAGGATCAAAGGCTGTCTCAAGCTTGAGAATGTCCCTGAGATTTCACAAGTAGAATGACTATACCTGGTTTTCTTATCTGTCATGAACACACCCAAGTTTCTACTTCCTGTTTTAAGACAGCCTCTCATTCTTTGAAGAGACACTATTACCACCACTGACTTTCTGACCAAATGAAAAGGAAGAACAGAGGCATGACCTTTTACTGAGTTGGCATTTGTAGCAAACAGGTCATGCAGTAAGCTGTGCCCTGTTCCAAGTACAGCTCTTGTGTGTTGCTCGCCTCAAAGCCCTATTTTGAAATATGAGCAAACCGTCAGGTTATCTAAATGCAGCTATCTGAAAGAGTTCCTCCCAAGCTTATAAGAAAAAGTGCCTAAGAGAGAAGCAAACTCCAGCCTGTGTTCAAACTCTAATTCCCAGAGGCCTTTGTTCCTACAGCCCTCCAGTCTGAACAGAGAGCAGCCGTGACTCCCAGGACTCAGAGGCAAGGCCGAAGGCAAGCACGCTGCTTCAGTCCACGGAAGCCATGACGAAGACAACCACTTGTGTATACCACTTCCTTGTTTTGAACTGGTACATTTTCCTCAATTATTACATCCCACATATTGGAAAGGATGAAGAGAAGTTAAAGGAATTCCACGATGGTGGACGTTCAAAGTACTTGACACTCCTTAATCTGGTAAGTCTGTGTGTCTGCGTCTGGAACCAGGTTATTAGTAATGTGAGAGCTTTTCCACGTACCACTTTACTAAACACAGGTCCCCCATGTCTTCTTTCTTCATGGTTGGTGAGTTTGGGGCTTGCCCTGTTATTTAGCAATTTGCTCTGAAGAACTCAGTTTGGAAACTCTCCATAGCGACTGGGGTGTCTAATTGTTAAATGCTCTTTACAAAGACTCTTGTGGGGGAGCACAGGCGTGTGTACGGAGCACAGGAGAGATTTTGAACCCTGCCTGAGAGTCTCTGGAAAGAAGGCGAAGTGTCGCACGTTGTGTAGGAAGTGTGACTTCCAATGGAGGAATAATGTCCTTTGACAGCGCACACCAACTCACAGATTTATCCAAGCAAAGCAAACACATTTGCTGCCTTCCTCTCCCACTAGAGTTTTTTATAGGCTCCAGTTCCATCTGAAAGGAGAGATCACCCGAGCCAACAACCAATACAGAGTTTCAACTATTTTAAAACCAAACTTAAAGCTTAATCCCTTCTTGTCTTCCTAACCTGGCTGACCACGTGCTACTGAGCAAAGTCTGAATGAGTGGAAGAAAAACTGCCTTGTAAGAAGTACTTTAGGAAACATATATATAGATGTGTGTGTGTGTGTGTGTGTGTGTGTGTGTGTGTGTGTGTGTTAAAAGATAAAATTGGAGCATCCTTCAGACATGGGAATTGACATTTAAGTCTTTGTTGTTGTTGCTAAAATACACAGTTCCATAAAAACACCTGATTTCAGGGAGCTGGAAAGAATATTCTTGTTTTCAAGATTGATTTTTTATTTTATGAGTGTTTTACATGCATTGCCTACATGTATGAATATGTGTCACATATATTTCTGGTGCTTGTGGAGGCCAGAAGAGGGCATTAGATCCCCTGGAACTAGTGTTACAGATGGCTGTGAGCGGCTATGTGGGTGCTGGGAACTGATCCTGAGTTCTCTGGAGGAGTAGTGGGTATCCTTAACTGAAGAACTGTCTCTCCAGCCCTGTGATCAGAATGTGCTAATCCTTCCGAATCACAATCCTCCTTTTGCAAACAGAGCAGATGAAGGGTCAGAAAAAGGGACACCGGAATGCCGAGTTCAGATGGAAGGGGCCTTTGCGGCACTGCCCCCTCCCTTCTGGCCTTGTGTTCACCTTTTGGTAACATATAGAATATTTTGAATTTTGGACAAGCTCTCTTGTGGCAGAAAGTGTCATGGTGGCTGTTTCAGTCTTGAGATTTTTGTGAGGGAAAAAGTCGAATAGTTGGAAAAGAAAACAAAAATTGGTTGTGTAGACCTCTACGAGTACTGTGAGTGTCCAACAATGAGGTTTGTATCTCTGTTGGGTCAACTGGGGGGCGTATGTCTCTCCCTGTTTAATCTACTAATCAAACTCAGGCTCCGGTACCGCCATTCTGCCGCACAGAATGGCAGAGCCTCGGGACAGACTTGGCACATAGGCCACCTGCCTGACCTCTTCCAGCTTTCGCTGCCGGTTCCCCCTCGTTTTCTGTCTACTGGCATATCCTAGCTTGATGTTTTCAAAAAACTATAGCATTTTTATTTATTTTTGTGTGCATGTATGTGTGTATGTGTTGGGGTCATGTGCACCACAATGCAGGGGTAGAGGTCAAAGGGCAAAGCTCTCTCCTTCCACCATTTGGGTCCCTAGGATTGAACTCAGGCCATCAAGCTGGGCAGAAAGTACCTTTACTTAGAGAGCATCTCATAGGCCCAAATCATATTCTAGTTTAATCTCATTTTCTGCCTTCCTGTCGAATTAGCCACCAAATCAAGTCCCACTTGTTTCTCCTTTTGTTGGACCCGCCTTTCCCTCCCCTCCCCTCCTGCCTCTCTCTCATTCCAAACTTAATAATGTGCATCAGAGGAGCACAGTAGCTCTGCATTGTCCTTTCCTATCCAAAGTGCCTACCTCTCCATTACTCAGACTCCAGATTGATCTTTTTATTTTGCTTGAATTCCTTTTGACATCGTGGACTCTTTTGGAAAACCAAAACCAAAACCAAAGCCAAACTCTCCCCTCAGGTCCCCTCTTCCCAGGAAAGCTGGTGTCTCTGAGAGACAGGCAGCTGGCTCCATCGTTTTATCCACAGGTTTCTTTCCTCACTTCTCTGCTCACATTCCCAAACAAAGGCCTGCTGGCCTCTGTTCCCAGCTCTGCTTCCTCCATAGACTTCCACAGCCCATCTGAAACCCCATGTACAGCGCTGTGATCCAATCCTTTCCCTCCTCTTTCCGTGAATATAAAAAGCATCTGAGCTCTTACTAGCTCAAAACCAGTTCCACCTCATGGGCCCTTATCAACCTGAGCCACTTACAGTTTTCTTTGTGTCTGCCGGGAGAGCGGGGCAGAGGGCACTCAGGTGCCAGGGCTCTGCTCATTTGGTCTATTGTAGGCGTGGCTGTGTTTTCTGCTTCCCTGAGTGATCTCTTCTGGCTGCTTCTAGCCCCAGCATGCGAGCAAAGAAGATGTTACCTGCAATGATTTCCTTTCTATGCTCTTGAGAGTATGACTTCAGAGTGTTCCCTACCTGACAAAGATGGGTTAAGTATAGTTTAGGGGAGCCATCCAAGGATAGTTTCCAAGTAGTGTGATTATAATACATGTTTGAGCCTCAAAATTTCTACCTCTTGAGATCTCACATGTTCATATATATATATGGTTTTTTTCAAGATAGGATTTTTCTGTGTAGCTTTGCGCCTTTTCCTGGAACTCACTTGGTAGCCCAGGCTGGCTTCAAACTCACAGAGATCCACCTGCCTCTGCCTCCCGAGTGCTGGGATTAAAGGTGTGCGCCACCACTGCCCGGCCAGCTTTATATTTTATATGGAATAATTGACCAGGCTTTAGAGGTCTCCTAACTTACTCTAACAGAACACTCATGTTTATTTTACTTCGACCTGGTGAAATCAGTATCCAATCCAATTTGGCAGTAATTGTTATTTTATTTTACATGTCTAAATTTTTGCCTGCATATTTGTGTGTGTCCCACGTGTGTTGCAGTACCTGCAGAGACCAGAAGAGGGGGTAAGATCTAGAACTGGAGTTACAGGCAGATTTGAACCAGCATGTACATCCTGAGAACAGAACCCTAGTCCCCTGTAAGAGCAGCAAATGCTCTTTAACCACTGAGCCACCTCTGTAGCCCATCAGCTTAGCAGGAATTGTGTACCTCCTCTTTTTATTCATATTTCTTAGTTAATCAAACATAATTATTTTAATGCCTTTGTAATATGCCCTGTTAGTCATATTAATCTTCTATGTGTTTTCTTCCTGTTAACATACAAACTAAAATGGATGTCACTGAATTTTCATACAGGTTTTGTTTTTGTTGATCCCCACCCACACGTCCTTTCTCTGTCATCCTAGCCCTCACCCATTTTGTCCCCAGCAGCCCCATTCTTCTTTCATGTCACATGCATCCTTGAACTTTCTTTTTTTTTCTTCCTCTCCGTGCCCTCTTTTCCTCCCTTTCATAGTTTCCTGTCTAGTTTCCTGACTTAGAAGCTCCAGCCTACACACACAAATGGTAATATCTAGAACCTACATGTGAAGGAAAACGTGGCATTTGACTTTCTGAGTCTGGTATACCTTTCCTCGCAGACATCTTTCATTTCTGTGTCCCTGTTGAATAACAAAGCCTGTCTTATTTCAAGTCAGATCTTAGAGCCCTGCACCATTTTCCGCCTGAAACTCCCCCCTAGGGAGACCGGAAAGAAGCCACAGAAGCTGCCAGAGTTGGTGGCTGGTAGAGTGTTGGTAGCTAAGAAGAGAAAGGCGAGGGGACAAGAAAGTCACTGCTGACAAGACAGAGAGCTGGCCCCAGGGAGAGGGGGTGTGCTCTGGCGGCTGTGTTCCTGGTACGGTTCCCCAGTGCACTGCTTACCATCTGTGACCCAGGGCCCAGGGCTTTATGCCATTCGTTTCCACATTTATTAAGTAGGAACAAAAATAGGAGCTAACGGCATGGCCACGAACTTAGAAGGCCATCAACATGGTGTAAGCAGAAAAAGGAGAGACGATGGAAGGGAGATGGGGAGCCTGGAGTTACCTTGTGTTGGACAGAGATGGGCAGTGTGGAATGTGGTGAATCAGCTGAATGTGGGTCTCCTCGCTACGTCCTCAGTGGATGGCAGATCTGGATGAAAGTCAACCCCTACCCCCACAGCTCCTGTGTATGTCTCCTCACACTACATTCTCCATCATTTAGCTAGAAGAGGATGTCTGTTGAGACACCCTTCTCTCTGATATAGCTGCTGGGGTAGACATCCCTGACATTCGGGCTTTTGGGGAAGGTATAGCTTCCGGTTCAAGCAGAGAGCAGTGAGTCCTACCAAGCGAGGAAGCCCCAACAGCTGAGTACAGAGACCAAGCTATGCAGTCTGCTTGTGCTGGCTCCACTTGTTCTTATAGCACCCACTTTAGTACTGAGAGGCAAACCCTTGCTTTCCATCACAGAGTTAAGATTTTCCGTCTGTGAAGCTCTTTAGCTTTACAGAGTCCAAAGAACACACGAGTGATGACACTCACAAAGATACTTAGAGCTACTGACTTAGCTTTTGAAGGGATTAGAGCTCATAGCACAGAGGGAATGGATATCTCCAGCACCCAAATGAAGCAATTTAAACTGATGGAGTAGCCAGGACGAACAGCATTTTGGTGAGTTCTTTAAACAAGGTGGGGAGATCTGTGATGAGAGGCCTGGCTTCTGGAACCAGAGCACTGGTTGTCTACTTCCTGGGTAATTTGAAGTGAGTTACCTAACTTTTCCACATCTCGGTTTGTTCCTGTGTAGCACTGAGGAGAGCGTATCCTCCCACCTCCCCAGAGCTGAGAGATTCATTCCCCAGCTCCCAGATGGTGTGTGGGCTTCTGATGGTTCACAGGTGATCTCTCTTCCCAGCAGCACCCGCAGCCGGAGGAAGCTGCCTCCACCAGCTCCTTCCCTGGGGTTGCCA